ACTAGATGACCTCCTGAGGTCCCTTCCAACCCTGATATTCTATGATTCTATGATGATCCTCCAGGAACTCATCACCTCTTACTATTAGAAATGACTTGTACAGCACTTAAAAATGCCAGATTTTCAAAATAGTTCAGCACCCAGCAGCTCCTATTGAGGACAAAGACTGAGCTCTTTTGAAAATCAGGTTCTTGCTGCACAAATAGAAGGACACCGTCCACACCCCAAAGAGCTCACTCGCCGGGGTTAACAAACAGCAGGGGCGTGTGAGGTCAGACAGGACAAGGGTTACAGAAATAAACCCATGAGGTTACTCACTTTGTGTGTGTGCACTTCTAGCTGCTTACACGGAAAGTGTCATTATTATTGACTGACTTGGCTCTTGTTAGCACCGAGGATGAAGTGAGTCATCAGGAGAGATTTGAGTCCAGAGCAGGGTTTGCCAGAATCTGAAGGCTATCCTGGCCAGGATTTTCCAAGTCTGAGTATCAATGACTTGGGGTTGCCAACTCTGGTGATTTTATTGCAGGTCTCTTGATATTTGGTGGTGTTTTTCAATCCCTGGCTCTTGGACTCATGTAAGGATTTCAGATTTCATTTTTTTAAAAGGACGTTTCTAGCCCTCAGGTTTGTGAAGAAAAGCTTGAGAACACAAACCGTAAAGGCTCAAAAAGGTGCAATGAAAAGGAACCCAACACTGATGATTTTAAAAGTCCCGGGGTTTTTGAGATGATGCTTGTGGCAGGCAATCCTGATGACAGTGATTAGTCCAGCTTCTCCAGGTGTGGCTCCAACTTCATGCAAATAGTCTATGGTACACCCAGACACCCTGGTGTGAATATAACCATGGCTTTTGTAGCTCAGTGCATCAGGTTGTACCACTTGAATTCCATGCCCAGTATTCTCACTGATCTATATAAACAATTATCAAACCAAAAGACACAAGCTTCAGGGAAGCCAATACCCTAAACTAAAGCACTGCTTGCCCCCATTACCATGGGATCCAGGACCAGGGGAGGGAGAGGAACAAAGCCATTGAAGGGTTTTTTCAGTTTGCTGTGCACAGGAACTACAGTCAGTGGGTTAACAACTCCAGGACTTGATAATTTAGCTGGCAACTGCAGATTCTCTTTACAGGCACTTCTGCTCAGGTATTTATCCAGGGTAATTGGGTTTACTGGAAAAGACATTCCCTTGAAATCAGGGTGTAAATTTCAGAAAGATGTAAATCTTCAACTATCCTATCAAAGTTGTGATTTTTATTCAGTTTTCTTTTGGTCCTCAGCATTGTACGCAGGCAGGGAAGGGGCAGGGGAAATAGCAGAATAGGAAGATCCCTGGAGAAAACATCGAAGCAGGGAACTGAAAGATTTCAGGTTGATTGAGGAGAATTTAAAAAAAAAAAAGGCTATATGAAAAAAAAACAAAACATCCAAATTAAAGCAGCTCATTGGTGACACATACTTTGCTAAAGAGTTTATTGGGTGTTTTTCATATGTATTTGGAGTAAATCTACATTAAAATCTCTCAAATTTTCTATATGACTTGGGGAACAAATGCAACAGATTTTGGCCAAGCATCCTACTAACTTCTAGTGCCCAAGCTGGAGGCATGATTTTGAACTACCACCTATAGGAACATATCTTCGGGGTACGCAGGAGCCACTTCCGCAGCCAAAAGCTGTTTACTCAAGAGGGCTTGCAATAAGTGGTTGTTACTTTCCAGTATAAAATGTGACAATGTACAAGTTGAAATGGAAGCCCTTCCCAGCTCCGTCTATTGCAAATGTAGCAAGTAAATTTCCAGAAGGGGGAGGGAGAGATAAGATTTTGAATATGATGCACAACATATGTCAGTTTGAAGCTGAACAGCTTTCTGCACCAAATATTCTAGCCAAACGATTAGTAACACCTGATATACCCACTGCTCCTCATTAGTCACCTGCCAGCAATGAGCAATTGGCTTCATATTAGCACTTGCTACTCTCTTTCCTCCCACCAATTAAGCATCTGTTAATCATGAGAAACAAATCATCTTCTTGGAAAACAAGGGACAAACATTGAGGTTTTGTAATAAAATGGAACATTGTAAATAATCAGTAAGATGCTTTGAGAAAGTTAATAGTTTTTTTTTTTTAAAGTTTAGCTATCTATTAAAAAGGCTGGAGAAAAGGAAGCAAGTCAGCAATATTGACTGGTGCATAACGTTAACATGGATTAGAAATACAGGACATAAGAGACTGGATCACACCAGGCCCATTTGTCCAGTATTATGTCTCCGACAGTAGCCAGCACCAGATGCTTTGGAGGAAAGTGCAAGAAACACTGCAGTAGCAGCTTCAGAGAAAGCTTCCTTCCACACACCGCACCCCCCAACCCCCTCAATATCCAGAGGTTGGCTTATTATCCTGAAGCTTGAGGATTTTATACCCCTATGCAATCTTGTTACATTTTACCACCTACTATTATACTCTGAATATTTTTTGTTCTCCATCTAAATTTTCAGTCCTTTTCTGAGTCCTGCTGAGCTCTTGGCCTCAGTAATATCTTGTGGCAATGAGCTCCACTGGCTAATTGGTTCATATTTCAAGTGGCAGAATGAAAGAATGGTTGCATTGGTCAGAATTAGTCGTGTGTGTTTTGGCAGCACCAAATTTGTAACTTCTTAGCCTTGATAAAAGGAGACAATGGATCTGTACATCAGACTATTACTCAAATTCCTCCAGCGGCCTCCTGGCTCCTTCTGTCAAGTTCATGCTCTTTATGCTGATCTACAAAGCTCTGGGAAGAGCTGCCTCTTTTCATTCCCTCTATGTCTGCTCTTATAAAGTATGAGTTAGATTTACACAGGAATCAGGATGCCTGCATCAAAAATATAGATCCTCAAAACCCCAACTGCCACCTGACACTGGAAATGCTTAAAGTCTCGGAGTGCCTATGTTTCTACTCATAAAGTTCCTTAAGGTGCATAAAAGTTTGCCGGTAGGCATCCACACAGCTTCAGTAGGAAAGATTGAGAGCCCCACCTCAGAACATCACATAGCCCAGTGGATTTGAACCTGTCTCCCACATCCTGGATGGGTGCTGTAACCAGGGCACCTCACTCTGTCCCATCCCAGGAGCTCCTGACAAGGTGCAGGCCTGGTATCTCTCAGTAGGTGGTTCATGTCTTCCTGGAATCTCAGAAACCATCCAGCATGACTTACAAGCCCAAGTGGCAATGGGTTGCAGTGTGGTATAATCACACCCAAGGGGGTCTCCTTTGCTTGACTCCCTACAAAAGCTATGAAGCTACCTTCTTCAAATTGTTTAAGTCACTCAGCAGGATTCTCACCCACCTACTGTGACATTCTATACCTTGGGAAGTGTCCTGTAACCCCTTATTCCTCAATTTTCATATAATCGTGATCTTACATATAAAGCATGCCTTGTAAAGTATCAGGGGAAAGGTTATGATCTGCTGAAAGTAATTTCTCTATCCACATATGTATATCATTAATGCATATGAAGTTATGAGAATTATGTAGTATGGCTGTCTCTAAAACATGCTGTAAATTGGGGAATCAGCCAGATATGAGCTCCCCAGAGGCAACAGCAAAGAAAGTAACCAACACCCAGGCAGGGTGTCAAACAACCCATCAACAGCCATTGTCCAGCAAAGGGAGCTACAATGCAATGAGTCACCTGCATGAGGCCACATCAGGGGAATTTCTCAACCTTGCTTGGAGAGACTCAGCAATTCCCCACAGTCATGCCAGACTTGTGCTCCCAAAGCACATGGACTGAGGGTATAAAACAGACAGAGTGGACACATACCGGGCCCTTCTCCTGCCGCCACCTTCGCTGCAAGCAACTAAGACACCGAGAAGAAGACAAGACTCCAACAGAGGAGATTGGCCCAGATTTAAGGAACAAACCTGTATAATAAGGACTGCAATATCCAGTAGGGTGAGAAAAACTGCTTAATCTAGATTTTGCCCAGTCTAACAGAGATGAGAGTTTAGACTGCGTGCTTTTATTTTATTTTATTTTGGTAACCACTCTGACTTTTTGCCTATCACTTAATATCTACACTTTATAGTCAATAAATGTGTTTGTTTCTCTTTACCAGTGAGTTTGTATGAAACATGGGGCAAATCTGCTCAGGTTGGCAAAGGCTGGTGTATGTCCACTTTCCATTGCTGAAGTGGTGAACTAATTAATAAATTTGCACTGCTCATCTTGAGCAGTGCAAGACAGTATATTGCTGGGAACTGGGGGGATTTGGCTGGTGCCTTTCTCTGTGTGATTTGTGAGTGGCTCTGGGACAACCTAGCTGGGTGTGGGGCTCCACATGCAGATATGAGTGATCACAGCTCCTGGAGGGTTTGCTAGCAAGGCATTGTGAGAAACAGCCTAGGCTGGGGAGAGTTCAGGGGGCACAGTCCCAGGCTGCAACCCGGAGGGATCCCGTCACAGTGGCATAGTGAGCAGGGTAAGGCTGCCTCCCAGAGTCAAGAATTGGAGGGACCTAGCAGATCACCAGCCCAGATAATACCAGAGGAGGAGGTCACACCTACCTGCCTGACAAGTCTGGGGATTTTCTTCTTTTAAGGTGCGTAGTCCTAAACATCTTTTTCCTATTTTACTTTGGGCATTTTTTTTGGCAATAATTGACCATCTGCACTGGCTTATTCTGGGAGCTTCGCTTCCTGTGTGACTGAAGGAACTGGCTGGAACATGCAGAGGGCAGTGTTTATGCCTAGTGAGGGTGATCCTGCAGGAGACCTGGTCCACATTTCACCCAACTGCTACTGCCCTCCAAAGTTAAACAACAACAACAACAACACCTCTAAGAGCTGAGCAAGCTCCAGCTGTCTTGCCCTAAGGAGCTGACACCTAGTCAGGAGAACTCTAGAAGACTGTATTTTTAAAGAAAAGTGTCTGTAACCAAGTTTGAGGGGAGAGAACAGAACAGAGTCCAACCCACAAAACCAGTAAAAAAAATCAGCAAGGAGACCCTTGTTTTAACAGTGATTTATTATCAGTAAAAAACAGACAGCTTAGAATTGTTTTTGCTTTAGAGGCTTTTATCTTGTGTAGCATGCAGACCCTAGCCCCAAACAGCTGTTGGGAGACCTTTGGCAATATTCTTATCTCAACTTCTAGCCCCGTCCCTTGTTACCAATGACATCAATGCTGCAAGTCACAACCAACTTGGCAACAGGCAATTCTATACAGTACTTCTGATAAGGGTCACTGTGAGGCCTAAGGGTGCTGCAGGATATTTTATGGGAGCTAAGACATATTGTTTTGGCTGTTCGCCCTTGTTAAAGTTCATGGCTTATTGGAAAGCTATGAAAATCTTTCAGGGCTTGTCATTTTTTCCATTGGCGCTTTGCTGCTGTCAGTCTTTCAAATTTTTATCTAGGCTACATGGGCTCAGGACTCTTTGGGAGAAAAATCCCTACGAATAATGCTAACAGTGCATCCCTTTCTTTGAGGGTGAGGGCTCTGTTCATGCTGGGGTCCTTCACAAAAAGACTCCCATCTACTGATGGGCTACTGGTGGTTCTGAATAAAGCTACATCTCGAGATGAGATGTAGACAAGTATTCCACTTAGGGGTGCGTGCCCAGTGTGTTGGAACCGGAGACTTGCCTAGCATTGCCTGTAGAGAGGTGGTGCTTGTGGTTCATGGCTGTGGCCCCTCCCCTGGTTATATGAGGTGACGGCGCCTTGACCCCCCTCAGTTCCTTTGCACTGAAAGCCCCTGAGAGGAGACTCTGATGCTGAGGGAGGGTGAGCTGTGAAATACATGTCTGCATCACATCTCAAGGAACCACAGTTACAGTCAGTAACCATTTCTTCTTCAAGTCGTGTGTATTCCATGGAGGTGACTCACGAGCAGTACCCCAATCTGGAGATGGGGCTCAGAGTCTACTGCAATACGGACTGCAGGACCATCTTCCCAAGGCCTGCATCCACCCCGGAATATGCGATAAGAGCACAATGGTCCCTAAACGTAGGTATGGATGACCACGTGGCTGCCCTGAAAATATCCAGTATGGAAATGTCCCTGAGGAACACTACTGAAGTCAGTTGAGCTCTTGTGGAGTGAGCCCGTATCTGCTGGGGAGGTGTAACCCAAGCTATCTCATAAGCAGTCGTGACACACGGTATTGCCCATCTAGAGATGGTCTGTGCCGAGACTATTGCCCCTTCATGCGGCCCATAGGACCTGAACAGGTGAGGCGAAGCATGCAAAAGGTTTAGTCTTGTTTAGAAAAAGGCTAGACATTGCCAGACATCCAGAGAGTGGAGGCACTGTTCTTCCAGGGAAGAGTGCGGTTTAGGGAAAAAACAGGTAAATACACCGCCTGATTTAGATAAACCAGAGAGATCACCTTGAATAAAAACTTTGGGTGTGGTCACAGTGTTACCTTGTCTTTGGAGAACTCAGTGTAAGGCAGCTCAGCCATTAGGGCCTGCAACTCACACACCCTTCTTGCTGAAGTGATGGCTATCAGGAACGCTGTTTTCCGAGACAGGAGAGGCAGCACATAGGACACAAGGGGCTCAAATGGAGGGCCCTTCAGAGCTGTCAGAACCGTGTTTAGGTCCCACAAGGGAACCAGTTCTCAGACCGGAGGATGTAAGGGGAGATACCCCTTCAGAAATCTCATCACCAAGGCACTGGGAAAAACTGACTTCCCTTGAATCAGGGGATGGAATGCTGATATTGCTGCCAAATGCACTCTCAGTGAACTGAGCACAAGGCCCGATTTCTGAAGATGTTGCAGGTACTCCAAGATATCCTGGATGGAAGTCTCTGTTGGTTGGGTCCCGTGGGCCAAGGATCAGATCGAGAACCTCTTCCATTTTGCCAAGCAGATCATCCTAGTGGAGGACTTCTTACTGTGGAGTAAGACTCGTTGGACGGCCTCTGAGCACCACTCTTTCCTCTTCATTTAGCCATGCAGGGAACTGATTGCAGGATGGAGGGTTTGGTTGTGGCTCTGCATGAGCAGGTTGGGATGGAGAGGAAGTGAAATGGGAGGTTGAATTGACAGAGCAAGGAGAACCAGCACTGTTTCGCAGGAGTAACAAGGATGAACTTGGCTCGATCCGCTTTGAGCTTGAGGATGACTCGTGGTATGACCGGAATAGGTAGACAGACATACAGAAGAGTTGACCACCAGGTGTAGTGGAAGGTGTTGGAGAGGGGGCGTCATCTCAAGAGCAGAATAGTTGACATTTCCCGTTCTCCCTCATCGCAGACAGGTTAATTGCAGGGATGCCCCAAGTTGCAAAGACAACCCAGAGAACACTCCCCTTCAGGGACCACTTGTGGCTCCGGGAGAAAACTCTGCTGAGATGGTCTGTGAGACGATTTTGCACGCCCAGTACACGGGCGGCTATGGGGTGATGTCTTCTTTGATACAAAATTGCCATAGGTTGATCACCTCCAGGCAGAATAACCTAGAATGCACCCCTCCTTGCTTGTTCACATAGTACATCGTGGTGGTATTGTCAGTGAGTATGTGAAACACTGAGTGCCTGGATGCAGTCTTGGAAAGCATGACAGGATGGCCTGAAGTTCCAACACATTGATATGGAGTGAGGCTTCCTGTTCCAACCACAGGCCCTGCACCCTCAACAAGTCCAGATGTGTATTCCAACCCAGAAGGGAAGTGTCAGTAACCACTGACTTGGTCGGAGAGGGCTGGGTGAAGAGGATTCCTTGGCACACACAGTGTGGGGACTCCCACTAACACAAGGAATCTAGGACTGGTGAAGAAAGGCGAACCAACCTGTCCAGAGAATTCAGGGTGGTACGCTGTTCTGAACCACATTTGAAGAGGGAAAAGGCGCAACCTAGCGAAGTGGATCACCTGCGTGCAAGCGGACATGAGGCCCAAAAGGCTCAGGCACACGCAGACTGTCATGGAGGGCTGAGATTGCAGACTGAGGCACATCTGCCTCGAAGTCGGTCATCGGGAATGCCCTCAACCTCATGGAATCTAACTGGGCCTTGGTTTTCGGAGTGGGAGCCAAGGTTGACTTTGCAGTATTTAAAATGAGTCCCAGATGGTCGAGCAAATGCAATGATATGTCGATGTGATCAAGAACTTCCTCTCCGGAGCCACCCTTCAGCAACCAGTCATCGGGGTACAGGAAGGTGTGGATTCCCTTCTTCCTGAGATATGCCAAGACCATCGCCATACATTTGGTAAGATCAGTGGGCAGAAGAGAGGCTGAACAGGAGAACCATATACTGAAAGTGGCATTCTCCTATCACAAAATGCAGAAATTTCCTGTGGCCCAGCAAGCGTCCTGAAGGTCCAGAGAAGTGAACCAGTCATTCTGAGACAGCGCGGGGAGGATTGCAGATAGAGTGACAATGCAGAATCTCATGTACTTGATGAATTTGTTGAGGCCACAAAGGTCGAGAATGGGTCTCATCCTGCCCTGGGATTTCGGAATCAGGAGGTACCAGGAGTCAAAGCCATGGCCTCAGTGTTCTTGTGGAACTTCCTCCACCATTAAGAACTGACCAGCATGGAGAGCAATGTCTTGTGAGATGGCTGCCCGAGGAGGGACAGGGAAAGGAGGTGAGAACAGGGCATGGAGGGGAACTGGATTGTGTAGCCCAATCTGATAGTAGGCAATTGAGTCCCAAGCATTGTAAAAGTGGACCAGCCTACCCCTAAAGGTACGGAGAGACAGAGGGAGTGGAGCAAAGACTCCAGCAACCGGCGGTGAGAAGGAACTGAGGGGGCTCAGGCTGGCGCCACCTTATATCGCCAGGGGAGGGGCCATTGCCACAAGCGCCGCCCCTCTACTGGGACTGCTAGGCAAAAGTCTCTGGTTCTGGTGCACTGGGCATGCACACCTAAGTGGAACACAGGTTTGCATCTAGTCAAAAGAGGAGGATTGTTGAGCATTGTTTTGTAAGTGCAATTTACGTTTACTGTGAAGAATTACAGAAGCATCCATATAGGTGCTCAGATACCGCAGCGCTGAGTGCATGAAAAATACTTATGCTTCTATATACACACATTGCCACACAACAACAGAATAATCTGAAATAAGGGCAGCATGATCCAGTCATTCCTTCCATAAATACTGATAATCGGTGGTTTGGTGAAGAATTTTCTCCTGGACAAGGAAGATATCTATGCAGGAATGCATGGATGCAAAGTAAATGAACAAATTCAGCATATTGGCCGCATCTTCTGCTCCTGAATAACCGAGTTGAGCACAGCACTCGCCTCCTTAACCATACAGAGCACTGAAAACTGTCATACTACATATTTAAAATGTCCCTGCTAAAACACATGATAGGTTTAGAATATCATCAATTGGCCTAGTTTTTACAGGTAGGATAGGCAGCCCCAATTCAGCCAAGCACTTACACACACATCCTTAAGTGCTTTGCTGAACCAAAGCCTGTATTGTTGTTATCGGCACCCAAAGGTGAGCTGAGTGCCTCTTACTCAGAAAGATGACAGGACCCTTGGACCCTGAGAGCTTAAAATTAGGCATGGCCTGGCAAGACAGAAAGGAAGGGGGAGGGGAGGAAACAGTAACATCAGTAAGATTATGCACTTACTCAGCGACAGCTTGTGCATGAGCTCACATACTAAAGAGAGTGTTTATGAACAGACTCCTCAGGTTGGCTAATTTTGCATAGGCATCATGGCAGAAGTGGGTTTAAGGAGGGCTTTGAATGAGGAGATTCAGGGAGTGCCTTGTTGATCAGAGGAGGGAGGTCATTCCAGGTGTAAAGAGCGGCAAGGGCAAAAATGTGAACACATCTGTGGAAGAAACAGATAAATGGGATATCAAGTTTAGGAAAGGACTCCCCTTACCAAAATGACCAGTTTGTACCGTTCTCTTGGGAAGTAAAGAGGAAGCTATTTGTGACCATAGGACTCATGATGGCCAAGCCCCAAAAGACGTACGAGGATAAGTTTATCAGTCCTATAATCATCTTTTCAATATTGCCACCATCTAAAGGAGCAGGTGGGACCTCTTGGAGAGCTCTGCCTACAGCAGCAATGCGCAGATCTGTGCACCTGACTCTCCATAATACCTTACTTTGTCATCTTAAATGTGCATATATCAGGCAGGATTTAAGTTCCTTGAATATCAAGCAAGATTCACATAGTATCAGCATGTTGACATTTAACTGAGGTAGCCAACAAGTTGTCATCGTACACTAGTGTTGACAAAAGTAAGGGAAAAGCTGAGGTGCTAAAGAACACTAAAGGCAGCCAAAGCCAATAGCATACACTTATTGCCATGTCTTTTTCTTTTTTAATTTTTTTGTTTTTATCTCCTCCATTTTCTCTTTTCACCCATCTCAAATAGAAGATACGTGTGAAGAAAGGTTCAACAATCCACTTAAATCATAACATGACTTTGGATATTCAAGGGCAAATTTTCAAAAACAAAAACAAAACCAAAAAAACCCAACAACCACCCCGTCTTATATTTATAAAGGCAAAACCAGTGATGTGCACTTTAAGCACTGATACAACAACACAAAACTGACAGACTCTGCAATACCCATTAACCAAAAGCATTCAATGAAAAAATACCATCATCTTCCTATATGTGTATAAGCACTGAAACTTGTATGCACATATATTTGCATGATCAGAAAATGGAGGCGATATTAATGGAGGCCGTCTCAAAATATGTCCCAACCCACATTATGTAACCATACAAAGGATTGCTTAGTCTATTAATTTTATTTTCAAGTATTCAGAAAGTTAGAATGTTTGCTATTTTGCTTCAAAAATATTTCTTTCCTCCAGCTAGGAAGTACTGAATTCCCACAGAATGGCTTGTGGATTTTGAGTTTCCTAGCAGCACTGATTTCATAAAATGAAAATATTTTCAAATCATTCTCCTTGTAGCTTGTGCTATCTGGTGTTAAAACTACCCACAAATTCCAAACATTTGGGGTAAAAAAAAAAATCTTACAGATTTTTAATTTTTCAGCAGATTTCTATGGCCCCAAGTTACTGTTTTGTTTTTGTTTTGTTTTTTTAACTTATTGATACAAACTTGTGAGAAAGAATAAAGTTACTGGATTCACCTAAATACTTTAATTACTTTATTAATTACCATCCATATTCAGGTGAAATTTTAAGTGTAAAAACTATCTTGTTATGACATACACTTTGGATTCCCACTTTCAAACAAATTGCTACTAAAAACCTACAGGTTTTTTTGCAGTGGTAAATTACTTTGATGTAGCTGCATGGATGCAAACCCCCAGTTTAAATGTGTTGCAGGGGGATATAAAGTAGGGCTTACAACAGTGCAACTTACCCGATGTTCAAATACTGTACTGCTAATGTACACAAAACCTATGTGAAAAAAGATTAATCAGTGCCAGTCACCAAAGTGTTGACTATTCGTGGTTTCTTCATCTTGGCCCTCATGGAAAGCCTTTTCCCCCCAAAACTGAAAAGTAAAATTGTTGGAAATACATATTATACATAGTGCAGTTAAAGCAACACTGAAGTGTTTTTTCTTCTCTTTGTGCAATATGAATTGTGTACAGCAGTAAAATTCACTGTGTCAACCTGTAATGCTGTCTTTGGGTTTCTTCTTGCATAGACAGATATGAAAAACTATTGTTATTTAAAAATACTTTGACCCACCACAGTGAGACATTAAGCAGTTTGATAAGCTATATATTGAAGTGTCATAATGCGCCAAGCTAATCTGAATTCTTTTTTGTTTGAAGTCCTGACATCACATAAATAGAACTTCCCTTTCACAAACTACACACGAAGAGGTGTTTTATAACTAGCATTATCTTGCATTACATACAATTGCTCATTGGGAGTAAGCAGATGTAGGTAATTTATTACATCATAAATCTAACCTCTTCAATATTTAAGCATATGTAACACAAATTAAAGATTCCAGTTAAGCATCACCACAGTTTAACCCCTCACATTTGCACAAAGTAATTTACTACAAGCTATTTAATTGCAAAAAGTAAAAGTTTATACAGGTGCTTTACTATGTCATACTGTCATGGTTCCCTTTGTTCAGCATTCCACACAAACTTCTGTATCATGATTGTTTCCACTCATTATCTATTCAGTCTCTGCGTTATTACTTCTCGGTACATGATGGAGATGTATATCAGCAGCAGAAAGATGACAAAGAAATCATCTAAAAATCCCAGAATTCCAAAGAGGGCTTCAGGAAGAAAATCCAGAGGTGAAGCCAGATAGAGCAGAGCTCCTAGCAGGCAGAGGACTATTCTGATACGGAACATCCAGAAAAGGCCCCCTACAGTAAACATCTCCCTGAAAGCATGCCGCAGTAAAGTGGGTAAATCCATAATTCTTTCCATAATCTATGAACAAACAAAATAGAAATAATTAATCTTTTGTAGCATCATACAAAATGCCAAAATAAATACTTCCTAAATGGGATTTCTTTTTTTCTTTTCTTTTCTTTTTTTTTTTTAAAGCACAACATTGATATTACCACATTCACCAGTTTTGGAATCCATTAGGTCACAAGACTGAAAGTTTCTAGACCTGGTACTTGAAACCACAGTATAATGAATTAATGAAAGATTTTAACTGCCAAGACACCTATTGGGTAAGAAACACAGGAAAACTAGCATCAAAGGAAAATTAGCATCTTAATTGACACAGAAGACAACTTATGATTCACCACGTAGCAAGAGCAAGCAGTGGAGAAACTATTCTGGATCCATTTCTTACTGATAAGTAGTAACTGATTGAGGTTATAACAACGGTAGAGAAGTTTGGAACCAATGATCATAAGTTATATTAGTTCAATACAATAAAGAAAGGGGCTTGAATTCATTATAGCAAAGAGAAGATTCACAGAATGCAGCGGTATATATTTAAGAAAAGGTAAATAAACAAAAACAGATTTCAGGAAAACAAAATGTTAATCGAGTGAGTAGGATGCAATGGAAGAAAGTATGGAAAATCTAAGAATATGGAAGAAATCTGGGGATCCCTATGAGACACCATAATCAAGCTGCAACAGATTACATTTCCTCTGAAAAAGAATAATGCAATATATAAGCTGTGGCTAAATGAGGCTTTTCAGGGGACTGTCCAAGCTTTAAGATTAGAAAACAAAATAAACCCAGCCACGGTGCCTTCTTATCTTTTATTCTGTGGCTTCATCCACATTAATTAGCCATGGTTCAGTGGGAGCCATTTTTTAATTTGAGCACTGTTTCAATAATGACTCCTTTCCCAAAGCAGACAGAGCCACAGAATAGAAGACTAAAAGGCAGTGGTTCTCAAACTTTTTTAATTGGTGACCCCTTTCGAACACCAAGCCTCTGAGTGCGACCTCCCTTAGAAATTAAAAACACATTTTTGATATTTAACACTATGTGAAATACTAAATTTAAACCCTATTGCTTAAAATGAATTTACCTTTTCTCACTGCTTTTAAATTAAGACTAAAACACATTTTTATCGAATTAAATATAAGTGGAAAAGTTATTTTTAATTAGAATTTTATTTTAATACTTGACAGCAATTAATGACCTGAAGCAGCCAAAAATCAGTGAGATGGATGATGCTGTTTATTCTTGGTGTTGTTTTAGAAAGGGTGCATCTGATGTCGCCCTTCACATTAAGTCGGTTTCGAGATTTCGTCTTTACTGTGAGAAGACTGGAGAATCCACTCTCGCATTTGTAGATAGTAGGAAATGGCAGGACGACTCTCTGGGCCATTTCAGATGCCAGTGGGTATTCACTTGCAACTGAGCACCAGAACTGGTTTGGAGGCAGCTGTGTGAATTTTGCTTTCACGCCATCATCATTGATCATGTCGACAAACTGTTCCTGTGTGTAAATATTGTCAGTAGCAACTGCTCAGCTGCCACACTGAAAGGGTTCTTCACCGGGGAATGAAGTGCTTCTGGTAGCGCTGGGAAGTAGTGTGAGAACTCTTCATGAAGGGCTCTCAAATGTTTACTGATCGCTGACTTGAGAGCGCTATCCATGTTAACTTCTTCCTCCTCGCTGAACAAGGAAGGTGTAGGAAACATGCCGTAACTGTCTGTGTCCAGCTTCCTGCACCACAGATCCAACTTTATCCGGAAGGCTTTGATTTTATTAGTCAGGTCTATTGATGTTGAACATTTTCCCTGAATTGACAGATTGAGATCATTAAAGGCTACCAAAGATATCAACTAGGTATGCCAAGCAGAGAAGCCATTTCTTGTCACTGAACATTTTGTTCAGCTCTTGTTTCTGTTTTCACAGGAAAAACTGTGCCATCTCTTCGCAAAGTATAAAAACGCGCTTTAATGTGCATCCCCTAGAAAGCCATCGGACTTGAGTGTGGACAAGCAGAACTTCATATTCACCACCCATTTCATTGCAGAGCTCTCGAAAGAGACGATTATTCAGAGCATGAGCTTTAACGTAGTTCACTGCTCGTATAACATCCACCACAGCATTAAGGCATATTAGCAATGTCTTTGCAGCGAGGACTTGACGATGGATTCCACAATGACTGACAATCCCATTAGGTGAGACGCACTTTACCTTCTGCCGAAAGCCAGACCGTGCACCCATCCTGGCTGGAGCACCACTGGTACAGATACCACAAAGATTTTTCCATTCAATGCCATTGCTTTCGAAAAAGGAGTTCACCTTATTGAAAATGGCCTGTGCTGTTGTGGTTGTTTCAAGTTGTTCACAGACTAAGAACTCATCCTTAACATCCCCGGCATTAACACACCGTACGGATGCGACCAGTTGTGCACAGCGAGTAACATCAGTGGTTTCATCAAGTTGCAGGCTGAACATACTGAAAGCAGAATTTTTAATTTCATGCACAACTTGTTTTTTGATATCTTCAGACATCTCACATAATCTGCGTTTCACAGTGTCATTAGGCAGGGAGAGGTATTCCGGTTTTTGGCAGTATCCTTGCCAACCATGAGTGCCACAGTCTCCTTGTCTGCTGGCCGAATAAGCGCCTCACCTGCTGCATGCAGCACTTGAGTAGGGGCAGCTCGTAGTGACACGGTGTAAGAGGCCTCCACAGCGGAAGACATTTGCTGTCGGAAACTTCCATCAGCACCAGGCCGGGCCGCCTTTGTTGCTGCTTCTCTGCGTTTGAAAAAAATCCACACCTCGATTTTTATGCTCAGGATGTCTAGTTTCAAGATGTTGCTGCCGTTTGCATGGTTTCATTGATTCAGCAGACAAAACTTCACAGTCAATGACACGTTGCGGCTTTTCAATCCCAGAGGTGATGATACTGGGAAAATCCAGTTTAATGGAAGACTCGAGATACTTTTATTTTTTTGCGGTTTCAGCAGTACAAGTGGCCATTATTTTCAGGAGAAAGTTTGCACTTGTGTGTCTGATTGTTAATTAATAAAGTACTCGTTCAACTGCGAATCAAGCCCTCTAATGTTGTCTCTGTGCCAGGGCCAGCCATAGGAAAAATGGTGCCCTGGGCAAACTTCTATTTGGCGCCCTGTCTTTGGAGGTGGAGCAGCACTGGAGGTGGAGCTGGGCTGGAGGAGCTTGGGACTCTGAGGCTGGCACATGGTGCTGATGGTGGCTCACAACCAAGCACCTGGCTGAAGGCCACACAGCGGGTGGCGGGGTTCGGGGCTGACAGGCAGGGCTGTGTGTGGCAGAGCGGGAGGGTTAACAACCTTGTGCCCGGCAGAGCTCCCGGCTGATAACCCTCAGCATGGCTAGGGCTTTGCCCGACAACCCCAGTACAGGGGTCGGGGCTCACAGCATCCTGGATGCCCCAGCTCAGGGCTCACAGCCCCTCTCCTGGTTGGGGTCAGGACTCGCAACCTCACATGGCGGTTGGACCCGGGGATTGCAGCCCTGTGCCTGCCTGGAGCTCACAGCCCTGCTCCTGGCCAGGGTTGGGGTCTGGGATCACAGCCCCATGGGGGGTCGGAGTCGGGGCTCGCAGCCACGCTTCCCTGTCAGGGTCGGGGCTCGCAGCCAGGGTGCAGGGATCGGGGCTCTCAACTTGTAGCTGCGCACTGGGGTCAGGGCTCGCGACCCCCCACATAACCAGGTTGCAACCCCCCGAGGGGTCGCGACCCCCAGTTTGAGAACCAGTGCTAAAAGGAGACATGGACTGAGCTTAAAAAAACACTTTAGACAGTAAGGGTAGTCTTGTGATTAAGGCAATTGACTGTGTTCAACATCCACAGGCAGGATGTCTAGGTTCAATTCCTGGGTCCGCCACAGACTTCCTATGTGACCATGGGCAAGTTGCTGAGGGCCGAATCCAAAACCCACTGAAGTTAATGGGAGTCTCTTAATTTCAATGACCTTTGGACCAGGCTTTCAATCTCTTTACCTGTAAAATGGGGATAATACTTCCTTTCTCTCATATTGTCTGTGTCGTCTATTTAGATTGTAAACTATTTGGGGTAGGGTCCCTAGGAAGAAACTGATGAGATATGTGCAGGCAGAACCCCACTGAAATCACTGGTATCTACCTGGACACATCTCATTTGTAGGATCAGGGTCTGCGTGTACGAACTGTGCCTAGCAAATGTGACAACAGTAGCTTGCAAGGTGTACATTCTAAAGTTCTTACCACTCTAATTATGACACCCAGTTATAGAAATAACACTCAGAGATAAGTTTAGAGAACAAAATAGAGAAGGCACACAACTCATTAGGAAATCAAGGAAGCACAGAACTCAAAATACAGTTACAAAAGAAAGGGAGCTATATCAATACAGAAAAAAGCAAAGCTAAATTCTCCTGATCAATTCTGGGTCTTTATAAACTGGGAACAAAAAGGGAAATATTTTTCTTTACAGAAAGAAGATATTTTTCTTTTCCACATATTTCTTTACTTGTTAATTATGAATAATTTAGGCCCTGAATCAGGAAAGCACGTAAGTACACGTTTAACCAGACTTCCTGAATAAAGGATGCTCTTCTGAATCAGGGCTTTAGTAAGTACTATGTTATTACAACAGAAATGCAAGGTTATACGAGTAGTTAAAAATAAATGTTTCTATGCTTAACCTGCAGAAACTTGTATTTACTAAACAAAACCTGTGTAGTTCCCATGAATTATGAACAGAAAATAAACACCTGGAAGAAAATCACACATTATAAAACAGTGTCAGTCTTTCACTGGTTATTGACCCGCCCCCCTCCCCCACCTTACTTACAGATCTGGGCTGTCCTGAGAATCTCCGGTTGTAATCATTGACATCCTGAAGCACTTGTGCTGCATCCTGCTGATCTTCACTGAAGCGTGGTAAAAGCAATGTTACCTGTGCACAACAGCAAGAAGCCACTTCATGCCTGGCACTTCTCATGAATATGAAATTGCAAATTCATAAAAGAAACAGGAATAATTCAGTGCTAAACCTCATACTTTAAGTACAATTCATTACTGTAGACCAACCTTGGTACAACTTTAGATATATGTTGCCTTGCTTCTAAGTATTAACCTAAAAATAACAAGTGTTTAATACTTGCACTGTATTTACTTAGATACAGCTCCCAAGTCTTAAAGAATTAACATTTTAAGATACTATAAAAAGGATATAGAAAGCTATTTTCAAGAATATTTACTAAGGACAAAGTACAAGAACCCAGTCTCTGAAGTAGATCAAGGGTAAAGTTTTCAAAAGTGCATAAGTGAGTTAGGAACTCAAATCCCATTTTCAGAGGTGACTTAGGCACTTAGATGCTTGGAGGTTTGAATTTTTTATCCCAAAATCAGACAAATGCTTCCGTCATCATTACTGATGATCTTGCATTGAAGCATAAAAGCAGCAAAGTTTGAGCTCATTGTATATCCACTTATAGCACAGTGGCTGAGGGCCCTTCACCATCACTGTTCCTCCAAAGTGCACCAGCCTAGGGGGAGTCCACTGCAACCTCCTCCGTGATCCTGGCTGTCATGGTAATGCTCAGAGTGAGTCTCCAGGCCTTAGCCCATTCAGGTTCCCCTTGACTGGAAAGCTGGTGGGTACAATGGGAAGCTTTGAGGATAAGGTGAGTAAATTGGAGAAAAAGTGGGCAGGACAAGAAAAAAGGATAAATCAGGGCTTTTGCAAGAGTAATGAATGGAGAATTCTCCTCCTAAAGAAAAATATAGTTTGGGGAATTAATTCTGCTACAAATATCTAAAACTACACAATATGACATACATACACATGTGTACATTTTATCTATATACAAAAAACTATTGTAATTTTAAAAATATGTGGTGATGATATTAATGTGATACACTTTATCGTAAGGTTCTGCAGTTTATCACATTGTTTGCAATTTTTCATCTTTGAAACCTTACCTTGTACTCTGCCACTAATCCATCAAGCAGTTGCAAACACCTGCCCTGCCCTCCCCTCCCCCCCTTCTTTTTTTTTTAAACAGCAGCTTGCCAAAGGACAGTTTCCTCTCTCTTCCTCTCCCTCCCAAATATGAAATCCCCCTTCCACTGCATAGGCTGAGCAACACTCAGTCCCAGATCAATGACAGGCTTAAGATGAAATAGCTCGTCACTTTCCATGGCTAGATATGGATTCTTTAGTCCATTGGAAAGAGGAGTGTACAGGGTGACACTGGCCCTTTGAGCTATAAAAGAGGATGCCTGGGGAAGAAAGAGATATGGTGAGAGAGCTCTCTGTAGGCCCACCCTAGAACAAGGGAGGAATTATCAGGGAGCCAGTGGAGGGGTTAGCCAGTGCCAGGAGGCTGAAAAGCGTGGAGACCTGGGAAGACTAGCCGGCAGACTTTCCTGAGATGAAGGGCCAGAGCCAGGAGACTGATTATGGTTCCTGGGAGAAGGCTGAAGGCAGGAGAGCAGCAAGAGGGGTTAGCTGGTTGGTGACCCCAAGTCAGAAGCAGGACTAGAGGGGTCTGAAGGCCAGTGAACAGCAGAAGGAGTTGCCTCTAAGCCAGAGAACCATAGCCAAGGGCCAGAGAGGGCTGATGGCAGGGGAGCAGCAGAAGACCTTATCTACTCTCATCTCCCGAGGCGAAGAGCTGGACCCATAGGAAGTGTGAGATGGCCAGCTTTCCAGTCAAGGGGAACCTTAATGGGCTAGGGCTTGGAGACTCACTCTGAGCATTACCATTCATTATTCCCAGTGCAGATAATCATTATGATCATCCGACATCTCATCTCATGATGCCCCATGTACCACACCACGGCACTTTCAACCATATCCGGACACTCTGTCCTCTTTTGTCCCTGGACAGCCACTCCAGCCCTTCCAGCTGGAGTGCAACCCTGCTCTTCCCAGCGGGAACCCTCACAGCCTGATTGCTGAGAGATGGTCTTTACCAGACCATCCAAAAATTGAGAGATTTTAAAAAAAGGATTAGGTTTTTGTGTTTTATTTTTTTTTTTTAAATTTGCTTTCTTGTTTTTGAGCCTTTGGAGGAAGCACTTGCCACCAAAAATATAAGTGATCATTTCAGGTTCAAAATTCAAGCTTAAATGCATATGCAGAAATGTAGGCCTCCCTGCTGGTTGCTCAGAAAGTCACTCTGCTAACCCTTTCCAATCTCTTGGTGTGTGGGTGTGGGTGACAAAAGACTTTCACCTCCCCGGACCTTATTGCTATTCTGTCTCTCTCTCTCTCCCCTCCTGGTCTCCCTCTCACTTCCCCACTCAGTCTCTTGCCCCACTCACATTTTCCCTCCACGCTCCCCACCACCAGTTCTTCTGTCCCTCACATGCCTGCCTATATCCCTCCCCTTTCCCCTAATAGAGTCTTACCATTCACAATTTCCCTCTATGCCATCCCTTACTTATTTTTAGAGGTAAGCATGAGAGTGCGTGTTTTCAGAATCCGGGCCTAAATTTGGAATCAGAACCATCGGGTCTTTGATGATATAAAGTGTTACCGTTTGTCTGCAGATTGGGCAACGGATGGCACCCAGCCACGAGCCATACCTCCAGTATGCAATAATGCACGTACCTAATGGAGGTAAATATCAAAAGCTGTAATGATTTAAATTTTACACTGTTAGACATTTTTGATTTAAAACAATTATTTCAGCAAGAACAAAATATTAGGCACCAAGAAAACCGGTAATGGATTATTAAAATATTAGGCTCAAGTACTTTAGGCATAACTGGCTGTTTTTATATAATATTAATTGCAGATAGTAAAACCAAATTTATCCAAATTCCAGATGCAATTCAGTTAATAAATTCTGATACAGTTCAATTTCAACATTAACTCGTATAGCAGGGTGGAAAAACAAATAAAAAAATTGATTTTATATTTTAAAAATAAACCCATTTAAGATTAAATTTGAAATTGACAACTCCAAACTTTTAAAAATCATTTAAAATAAACATAAAAATAATGTTAAGCAATACGTTTGCTGACACTTTTTGAAGAAAGTAAAACCACAGAACTGTGGAAGTCACTGGCTAAGCCAAGGGTGGGCAAACTGCAGCCCATGGACCAGATCCGGACTGCTAGTTATTTTAAGCCAGCCCTTGAGCTCTGCTCCAGCCGGGGAGCAGGGTTGGGGGCTGGAAGCTCCCGGAAGCCACGACAGCGCTTTAACGTGGCTGTGTAGTTGCGGCACCAAAGCTGGGAGAGACCTTTCCCAGAGCTGTAAAAAACCCACCCCCACGACGGGAGTAGCTACCAGTGCTGGTGCACTGTCTACACTGCCACTTTACGGCGCTGAAACTTGCATCGCTCAGGGGTGTGTTTTTCACACCCCGGAGTGAGAAATGTTCAGCACTGTAAAGTGGCAGTGTAGACAAGGCCTCAGTGTAAATGCTATGGTTAACTGAAAATCAACATGTTTTAATAGCTAACAACCAATGAAAATCAACTTTTCTTTAGGAAAATAACTAAAAAGTACAAATGCAGAACACGATTAGAATACATTATTTAAATAAAGGTTTTCAGCTTACTGATTTAAATTATGATTAAAGTGGGTGATTTAAATTGCACTAACTTAAATCAATCCATCCTGGTCAAGAGCATATATATTAACTGAGGAGTCAAAAAGCTTCTACATCATTGTAATTGGAAAATGATTAGTTTTAAAAGCCTTTACTAAGGTAAAGTTTAGCTGGGAAAACAACAGGAAATAAAAATTCAGCTTGTTACAAAACCTTAATGTTTCAAGCTTTGAAATTGCACAGGTTTTGAGGTGTCCGGAAAAATCTGAATCCTTTTAATCTTTTCCAAGTCTGCACCAACTAACTTTTCTCGATGAACAGATAATGTATAAGTTACGATAGCCCCATGGATACTAGATGAAGACAGATAAAGAATCCTTGTTTGAGAATCTCAAATGTTGGGAATCTGAAGGAGGGGAAATCAAAATGATAAACACAATGTAACAAAATAAAATTACCCCTACAGATACCTCAAGTAAGCTAAGGATGTGAATGTTGTAAGTTTTAGCATAATTCTTAAAGACTTCAATTTTTCAGTGTAAACATGTTGTCCTGGATGAGGACACCAACCAGAGTTTTGCTAGTTTTTTTTCTACACGTGTTTACAAAACTGCCACCTCAGCTCCCCCCGTTTTATTTTAAAAAATGTTTTCCGTTAATTCTGAATTAATTTTCAGTTAATTCTGAGTTAATTTTTTCCACGTTTAGAAACTTTAAGGACACAGAATCAAATATATTTGCAGATGAGTGGAAATTCTGATTTAAAAACTGGTAGCACAGAAAAAAAAAATACTTTAGAACGTAATTTTAGACACTATCTATTACCAGACACTTTCTCAAGAAGTTATACATAAAGTTCTTTGTTTTTAATAGTATTATGCTATGAAAAACTGTTTTTCTTTTCAGATCAAGTTAAGGAATTTAAGATTCTTTAGAAATGGTTACTCACCCTGTATAGTAACTGGGGTTCTTCAAGATGTGCCCCCCACGGTGCTCCACTTGAGGCGTGCTAGCACCCGCTGCACCTTTGATTGGAAGTTTCTCTTAGCAGTGTCTGACTGGCCCACGGATGCGTGCTACTCAGCCCCGTGCCCTGAGCCATTGTTACACAGCACTGGGTGGGTGAACCGCCCTCAGTTCTTTCTCTACTACCAAGCTCCACCGCAGAGAACGCCAAAGTAGAGGGGAGGGAGGGCTGGTACTGGAGCACTTGTAGGGATACAAATCTTGAAGAACCTCAGTTACCGCACACAGTGAATAATCATTTTTTCTTCTTCCAGTAGTGTCCTTACGGGTGCTCCGGGGAGGCAGATCAGTGTTGTACGTTGCTAACGCTGTTGCAGGCATCGCAAGGCAGTTTGGGAAGGGTTAAAGGTGTAAGTGTGGAATGAAAGGTTCCTTTGCAGGTTATGAGAGGCCGTACAGGGAGGATGAGAGAAGGGAATGGGTTAACTCGACGCTCCAGCTAGGTCCGAAGACAAGACACTAACTCCAGCCCAAGGCCATGGCACACGACCTACGACCTACTCTCGGCTGCCTGCCAAGGAAGACGGGAGCCTGGATTCCAACCCCGACCAGCGAGGATTCAGCTGAACAAACTGCAGGGGCTGTGAAAACTAGTGAGACAGTGAAGGCCAGCGTGGGGGAAACAACAGGGTGTTTTGGGAAAGCTGAGGAAGCCACGGAAGGCCGGTTTGGACTGGTACAAAGAGCACAGGGAACAATGGTCCCTAAACAAAATGCCCCCAAAAGACCTAAGGACTTAAAACCCTCCTGAGAGCTGAAGCAAATCAGAGATCCACAGTGGACCCTGGGCAGCCTGTGCACAGGACAGAACTCCCGTCCATCCTTCCCCCTCTTCTTCTAACGTTACACCCAGGCTTGGCCAGCCTCGGGTCGTGTGTGTGTGAGTAAGAAAGTGGGTTAGGGCATGGGCACTGCTGCTTTCTTTCTTCCCCTGAGTGACGTGGGGAGAACCCAGCACCCTCCGCTGTTATTAATAAAGCTTTAAAATTTAGTCACTTGGTGTGCTCCTTCATTCCCTCCCGTAATGATCCTGTGGCCTCAGCCTGATCACCTGATGCCTCAGGCAGATTGGTAACATAAATCTGTCACAGAATAACCCTGTACTGGAGAGTGGAAAGCCATGATGGCCACCAGATGGACTCTAATAGAGCTCAGCGATAGTCCTAAACTTTTTAGTGTAAGGATGTAGTCCAATAAATCTGGCAGCGATGAGGTCATTGGTGGAATATGTCTGAGGTCACACCAAGAAAGAAATCTTGTCCATTTTTGAAAGTATGTGAAGCAAGTAGAACTGTTTCCTGCTGTGTTATAGAATTCTTTTTACTTCCTCTGAGCAGACTGTGTCTAGACCCATGAATCATCGGCCAACCGTGCTTTGAGACGAAGCACTGCAAGATTGGGGTGAAGGATCATCCTGTCTTCCTGGGAGAGGAGATGAAGAGCAGTGTGGAGAGTGATTGGAGAGCAAATGGCCAGCTGTATCAGGCAAGGAAAACATGTTAATCTGGGACAGGGTCAAAATTATTTGGATGACTCCGGTTTTGTCTTTTGTACTTTGAGGAGAACTAGAGGAATCGGTGAGAATGCGTACAAGGAGATTCAACGATCAATGAAAGTGAAAAATATCCCCAGAGATCTGTGACCCAGTCTGCCTCTCGAGCAAAACTGAGCATAAAACTGTGGTGAAACAAGTCTATCTGAGAGGTGCCCCACTGACAGAATATTTGGTATGATTTGCTGTATCCTATTTCTTACTTGTTGTCTTGGAAGAAGTGCCTACTGAATGCATCCAGAGTCACATGTTGAATCCTTGGGAGATAGGCTGCTGTGATGAAGACCTGGTTGAGTATGTACCAATTACAAAGCTTGACAGGTTTGATGCAGTGGGATCTTGTGCCTCCTTGCCGATATAAATATGCATGATATGTGGTCCAAACAAATCCTGCATCCTTGCGGTCCCTTCCAACCCCATGATTTTATGACCTTTATGAGATTGCGCAATTAGTGGCAAAACCTGGAGACAGGGGTATCTAACCACTCTGAGTTCCAGGATGTTGATGTGTAACATGGTCTCTTGCGACGCCTACTTGCCCTGGATCTAGATGTGCTCCCGACCATAGCAGAGAGATGTCTGTCTTTATGACAACTGCTGGGGAAGGATGTGCAAATTGGACTTCTGAGCAGACATTGTGATGGTCTTTCTACCAAAGTTGAGGGATTGTTTTACGCAGGTGGATATGGAAAGATGTACATTTAAACTGTGTCGGCTTGGTGAATAAACAGTCCCGAGCCACCCTGATGGCAATGGATTCGGAATCTTGCGGGGTCTCTGGCAAAGGTACTGGCTGCCATGTGCCCTAACAACTGAAAACAGTTCTTGATCAGGGGGCTTGATCAGTATGGGGGCTGAGTTGAATTGCACTGGCTTTGTTGGAAAGGACCACAAACTTATGCAGAGGAATGTAGGCTCTTGCTGCTACTGAATCAAGCAGAACTCCTATGAATTCTAAGTTTTGCACAGTGGTCAAAGTGTATTTTTGAACATTCAATTGCAGGCCCAACTTGAAGTGATCTAACACCTCAGAAGTTGGGGCAGATGACAGGCCTAACAGGAGCACCTGGTACAGAAGGGCTTCATTGACAGGCAAAGCTATGTGGGCAGACGAGGTCAAACGAAGGAGAACATGCAGCGTATGATGAGGTTCTTTAACCTCCTTGAATTAATTGCAACGAGTCAGCAATCCTCTTGACCAGATCCTGGAACTGCTTAAAATTCTCCGCCAAGGAAGGAGGAGGACAAATGATAGCTTCATCCGGACATGAAGAGGAGATATTGGCTGTAGGAGAGACCTCATCAACAGCTCGAGCTTCCTGCTCCTCAAAAGATTCTATTGAGGGTCAAGTCTCCTAGAGGGAGCAGGCCATGCCGGTTGTCTCTCTGTGATGGGTGGTGCTCGATGTCTTGGAATATTGTTGACGATAGACTGATCAAGGGTCCCAATGTGGCCAAGGAGGTGGTGCAGA